ATTTTTTTTTCAATTTTAAACCTTTGCCAGAACCTGGAATCCTCCAAACACTCTTCTGGAATGCCATGACTCAAAAGGTAGTGCAAGTGGATTCAGTAACAACTCGGAACAGAACTAGATACTTGAGAGGAAATTTTACAAGGCAATGAAGGAGTTGCAAGATTGGGGCTAATTGAATTTGATAGTTCTTTCAAACGGCCATCACAGACATGATGAGCATACGTTCACCTTCTGTGCTGTATCCTTCTACAACTTAAGTTGATGACTACTGGAGGGGTTCTTCTGGGAAAGGATCAGTCCCCATTCACAGTCTCACCTGCTCCCTGGACCATCCATCTCACTCTCCATTGTTTGGCAACAGTTGACTGCCAAATACAGTTTGCCATTTTAAAATGGAGAACAGCCACAATTCATGGTGTCCACACAGCCGCATGTGGCCAAAACCATTCCATCTGGCAGTCAGCTACTTTTTTGGATGCCACTTTAATAATGCAAATGGAACAAAAGAGCAATTCAACTTTATATTCATCATAAAGAAACCCAAATAGTAGCAAGAATGTGAAACCTTCCAGAAGAAGTTGCTGTAGTTATTAATCATTGGACTTGTCTCCCCAGTGAGCAGTGCAGGCTGAGTCCCTGAATATATTCAAGCAGAGATGATTTTTGATGGTTGTCAGGTTCAGGCAGGAAAGTGACCTTAAAGCCACAACCATATCAGTATTTTTTGATTATCCTATTCCTGCTTCTTATTGTTTAAATTCTAAGTGAATAGGATAAATGGATTAGAGGGGAAACTTGATAAGCACTTGAATAAGAGAGAAATAGTAGGATACACCAGTGGAATGCAAAAACTGTGTTGAGCATAAACTTCACCTGACACTGATTGAGCTGAATGATGTGCTGTGTAATCTGTAAATCTACGTTATATATAATCCACTCAAGCTGCTGGTAAGTATGGTCAGTTGACTCAATACTAAATAGTGATGAACCTGGATCATACCATGGCTTTCTTGCTTTGTACACCACATCAGGTATTATTTACATACTAAAGAAAGCTCCTTGAGCCAAACTTCATTATATCATGCGATTTTTTTTTATTTTCAAAGGAAAACCGCTTACCATTTAAGTAGAGGAATTGGGCCTCTGTGTAATATTTGGATGACAACAGCTTAATCTGCCAAGTGCATTGAAAACCAGGACATGAAACAACGGCCTTTGGTGACAGGTCACAATGGAGCTTTGATAAGACATCAACAATAAATGTTTACTTAGCCCAACAGCCCACTCTCCTTTTTGTTGCCCGGATGTGTATACCCCCACAAACAAAAAATTTGCATCCAATTCCTAACAGTCAAGAACATCAACTTGGTGTTGGTCCATAATGCTTTTGGAAAAATTACTCAACTTTTTGTAGTTTTCCAGCTGAACATTACACATAGTTTGGAGTTTCCAAGTTAATTTTTCCATGAATATCTGCACTTCTTAAAATCTTTTTTCAGACAATTATGTTTTATTCAATACTGCCTGACAGGCTGAGTATTCCCAGCATTTTCAGTTTCTACTTTGCATTTATTTTAGTAAGTTATGTTCCAGTAAAAGCTGTTGTTTCAGCTACAGATTTGTATAGTAATTGCAGATGAAGATTTGGCTAGGTGAGCTGGGCAGGTTTGGGTATATTCTAGGATACAAAATCAGGCTGCAGGAAAAATGTGTTGAGCCGGCCTCAAATTTCTTCCTGCTAATTCAGTTTCTAAAGGCTGCATTGATGGCCAAAATACTTAAGTATCATAATATATCTGCCATGTCTGTGATTAGTCACACACATGGTTCATCTGAAGACTGGAAATTAGCAGAGAAAAACCCAAAGGATATACTTAATTTCTTCTCCATTCCTCAGGTTTCTGCCGGGACTTTCCAATCTTAAGATACACAATATTCTACCAGGTGCCTTCCAATTCCTTCTTCACTGTAAACTCACTGCATACTGCTTAACTGTGGCTCACCCTGTCTCTCTACCCATTGACCGTTGCTCACTCTGTCTCTGAATTGACTGCAGTGGGATGAAACTATGAATTACTCACTGAGAGTGCTCAATTGGTGGCAAGGCAGGAAGATCATCCACAGGTCTGGTCATCAGGGATCAATTTGAGGTGGAGGGAGTAAGGTTACAGAGTCCCCAACTGCTAATCTCTTGTCTGATTAAAAGCCCTCCATCAAATTTAGGGGGTTTGGACGGCTACCAAGAGACATGAAATTTTGTTATGCTACCTCTGTGCTGACTGAAAGTCTGTCTTGCTATACTAATTGATTCTCTCTGTCACTTTCTCTCTCTATATGGCATTCTTTCTATGGCGCTCTCTCTTTCTCTCTCTCTGTACATGGCACTGTGTCTGTACGGAACACACTCCACCTATATGACGCTCTCCATACAGCTCTTTTTGTCTCTAAGAACAGGAGTGATCCTATGTATTATTGTACCCAGGTACAAGGATATTATTATTTTTATAGGTCTTTTACAAATCATGTTTCTGAAATTTGCCTCTGTCTCTACATATTTACATTCGGAAAGACTGTTATCACAATAGCAAAGTAACAGATATAAAAGGTTTTAAGGTTGTGATCATGTCATGGAGATTAAGAAGCCTATTTCAGCTATTAGAGAAAAAAATAAAAGTTGCATTTATATAGCACCTTTCACAGGTGAGAACTTTTGAAGACTATTTGCTATAGGAGGTTTGATGTTAATCGTAGATCAGTTGGTAGCACTGTCAACTCTGAGCCTATGTTTCTGTGTTTTTATGGGCCAGGTGCCTATGACTTTGAGTTCTACTCCAAAAACGTAAGCACAAAATCTTGACACATATTCCCATTGCAATACGAAGGGAGTGCTACACTTTCAGAAGTACCATCTTTCAAAAGAGACAATAGACCAAGACCATGTTAGCCCTCACAGATGAATATAAAAGTTCCCATGGCAGTATTTTGAAAAATGTCAGAAAAATTCTAGGCCCAGATGCATTTAGGGTAAAGCTAAATAGATGCATGAAGGTGAAAAAGTATAGGCTGATAAACTGAAGTGAATAGTGGGAGGAGGCTGATGAAGAACATCATGATGAAAAAGCAGCATGGACCAGTTGGGCCAAATGGCCTCTCTGTGCTGTAAGTTCTGTGTAGTTATCTAACCGCATTGCAAGCACCAGGAAATAACTCCTACGGCATACCAAAACAGAAACACCATATACTAAAAAATGTTTTATGTCCGTGCTCCTGTTGCAAGAGGTTGCTAATTTGACCCATTGCATCAGGAGTCACTGTGTTGCTCTGCTTTTTGTTATATGAACTGTTAGGCAGAGCAAGACAAAGGGAAGGAGCTGTTAAACTGGGGCTGTTTGAGGGATCCAGGTGAACCTAAGGTCACTGAAATGTCATTCCAACCCACCAGGAAATGATGCGCATCTAATCCAGTTAATCTATTTACCTTTGCATTTTGATTCAGATTAGAATGAACACCAAACTAGATTACGATAAGAGTGTAAACAGGCCCTTAGATGCTCTCAGTACAAATCCTGTTTTACCTTGCCACGCGAGAGCAAACAGATTGTAGCCGTTAGGGTCATCGCAAAGTCAGTTTCCATCCGTTCCAAACCCAAAGCAAAGCTTCCTGGATTCCAATGGGTAAAACAACAGCATCCTCTTTAATTTTCAATCTCCTGTTAACATCCCCCTAGGCATAAACAGAAAACACTTCATTTCTAAGCTTCTGTCAAAGAGTCACTGGACATCAGGATGTTCCTAAGCCTTCTGTCAATTTTTACTCTGATTTTTTTCCTTCCTATGCTGGAAACACTTCTCCCGACTACACCAGTGAATCACCATATGTTGTAATGACGTGGGGGAGGGCTGTTCATGGAAGCAGGAATAAGTCATTCAGCTGTCAAGTTAATGCAAGTTAGTTACTGCATCTCATGCACACACCCTCCCCTGCCCTTTCTGCAATTTTTTTCCCCTTGCAATATTTGTCCAGTTTCATTTTGAAAATGATTACAGAACGTGCTTCTGTCACCCTTTCAGGTAATGCATTCCAGATCAACTTTGGAAAAATTAATCTCGGTATGTCACCTCTGGTTCTTTACCGATTATATCTGACTACTGACCCTTTTGCCACTGGAAACTCTGTCAAAAGGCTTCAAGCTTTTGAACAAATCTTGCAATCACCTTCTCTGCTCTAAGGATACCACTTCAGTTTCTCCAGCTTTTCATCCCTGGAGCTGTCTGTTTTCCCCACTGTTTACTACATTTCCATGTTTCACGTCATCTCTAATCACGGGCATGGTGCCTTTTCTGCCAAGAAACCATGGCCCCTCAAGGTTGATTAGCCTAAGCCAGTCAGAACAGTGATTTGTAACTTTACCTTCAGTGATATAGACACAAGATAAGTAGATGAATGTATAATATGTGGAAAAGAATTGCTCATCAAATTCATTATTGTATTAACAGTTCGTTACCTGTAAAACTTCAGCAATAGATTAAATTGACATTAGGTATCGTCCCAATGTGATCTTCTACATTTTTCCACTTTTTAAATTTATTCATTCTTGGGTATGGGCATCACATTTATTGCCAATCACAAATTGCCCCTGAGAAGATGCAGTGGGTCATCCTGAGCTGCTGCATGTAGTGAGGGTACTACAGCAAGTTCCAACATTTTGACCCAGCAACAATGGAAGACCAGCAATATGTTTCAAAATCGGCGTGGAGTGTGACCTAGAGGGCACCCTGCAAGTGGTGGTTCCCCATGCATCACCTGACTTTATCCTTTCAGGTGGCAGAGGTCGTGGGTTTGGAAGATGTTGTTGAAGGGATGTTGGTAAGTTGCACCTTGGAGGTTATGTGTGCTACAGCCACAGTATTATCAGTAGTAGGTGTGCTGTACAGTATACATTGTGTAAATGTACTCGATAAAGCATTAAGACTTGGTGTTTGTTTTCTGCAACACACAGGGAAGAGAAGGAACGTTGGATCCGTGCTAAGTATGAACAGAAACTGTTCCTGGTTCCGCCACCATGTTCGGACATTCCCCTGGGACAACAGCTGCTACGTGCTACAGCCGAGGAGAACTTACGAGCTGTCATCTTACTTCTGGCCCACGGCTCCAAGGATGAAGTAAATGAGACTTATGGAGAGGGGGATGGACGCACGTCCCTTCACTTGGCCTGTAGGAAAGGGAACGTTGTCCTCACCCAGCTTTTGATCTGGGTAAGTGAATGTGACAATTCAATATAAAAGACAGCCTTGCATTTCTGTAGCACCATTTGCAACTTGAGGGCATCCCAGTGAAGTATCTTTCAAGTGTTACAAGGCAAGGACCCGCAAGGATCCAGAGATCAATGAGCTAAATAACTTGATATACTGCCTTATTGCTGTTGGTTGAGGAATGAATATTGACCAGGATGGTGGGGAGGACTTCACTGCTTCTCTTCAAAATAAAAAGATCCACCTGAGAAGGCAACCGAGTTTTAAGCTTTCATCAACAAGCTCTGCAACCCTCTTCCAGTACTAGCGTGGAGAGTGATTTGAATCAGCAGCCTTCTGACTTTTCAATGAGTGTGCTACCTCTGGCTGAAATCAGAGGGAGCATTGCATGAGTTTCCTTCCACTTGACTCCCCTCTTTTCCTGTCAGTCCATGGGCTCTTGCTCCTCCAGCCTGGAATTCCTGGAGGCATCACAGTCTAGAATACTGCTATCTTAACCTGACACCCAGCTTCCACTTAGAGGTGAATGATAATCAGCTGAACCCTGGCTCATCTTTTTCCCACTTGACAAGAACATCAACATCCGGAACTCGGAAATGTGTAACACCTTGAAAATAGTAAATTTGTGCAGGCTCCATTGGATCTGTTATGAAGGAAGAGATGAGACATTATTAAGGGGTACCAAAAGTATTTAAGAGCTTCTTAAAGGAGAAGAGACTAGAGTTTGAGAGAATAATTGAAGGTGGGAGGTCATTTGGTAGCATTTCCAGAAATATGTTCGATCAGAGTTGGCAAATTTAACACGTCATTGTAATTCAGGGGGCCAACATTGAAAGTAAACTCCAGGAAATGACATGAACCAAGTTCTCTTTGCCTAGTTAACTCACAGTGAGGATGGGGGCCAACAGGTTGTGAACTGACCATTTAATCATATTTACCATTTCCAGTTGTGAAGTGAGAATGAGGCGGATTGTATTGAATCCATGCCTCATCCTGAACTTTAAATAGGAGATAACTGTAGGCCCATGTCTCAATTGTATCCTGTTTCAACTGTCTTGTACCATTGGATAGAGACCAAAAAATCAATGCTGGAAGTAGTTGTCAGAGTTCTGATGATAAATCAATTATGCACCCTGGCAACATCAAGGTGGAGTGATCTGAAATGTTTTGACAGGAGCCATCGTTTTCCAGTGTGTTCATTCCTGTCTTCACATGCAGTCTGTTGCTACTGTGGCAAGAAAAGAAAGCAGTTTGATTCTTTGGTAATAAGGTGGAGCAAGTTTATGACTTAAACATTTGGAAAGCTGTGATCATGATATAATTTTATTGAGAATCCAAAGTAACCAGCTGCCATGGATTTTATGGGACTATCTCAGAATTGAGTGGTTGTCCCATGCTCTGATTTCTTGGCATTGGGATGGCTTTTGTCCTGTATTGTCGAAAGAGGCATTTGGAAACGGTGACAGTTTGAGCAACAACTCCCATGCACTTGCCCTCCCCCAATTCCCCTGCCACTCAAGAGCCTCGACAGCACTGTTCACCCCACATCCCCAAAACGGACTAGAAAGCATTGTCACTCCTTTTCATCTCCCTCTCATCTCACCATCATAGACCCCACAGTCCCAATAACAGACTGAAATAATTGAAGCAGTGAGATAGCAAGGTCTAAATCAAATGGAGGGGAAAACAAACAAATACATAAATCTCTTCTCCTACAGCAGTAGCTACGTTTCACTGACTGTAAAGGACTTTGCAATATTCTGAGGTTGTGAAGTATTCTATAGAAATACAAGAATCTTGAGAGTCAGATTGATTTAAGTAAGAGATGGGCAGAAAACAAATGAAGTAAATTCCAACTTGATTAAAAGTAATTATCACGTAAAGTAGTGGTTCAGTGGACAGAGAGCATGGAAATGGTTAAGGTTATAAGTAACTTCCCTTAGTTACCACAGAGGAAGTGAAGTTTGAAGTTCAGCATCAGAGCTGGGTGTGGAACATGTATTGGAAGAAAGATAATACTAAAGCCTTGAATCAAACCTATAAGGTAAAGGAGTCTCTGGAACCTGACAGCTGCAAGTGGAAAGCTAGGGAAGAGATAGCAGAGGCTTTGACTAGCCATCCGAACTGTTCTGAAAAAGAAAATTGTGCTTAGGATTGACATTGTTAGCAGGGTGGACGTGCAGCTACAGACATAATTAAAAACAAAATTATAACAGAACTGATCTAAATCTAACTTAGAATACAGCCTAAAATTGGAGTTAGGTCATTGGAGATGATGTTCAGAAAAAGTTCTTCACACAAAGAGGAGTAGAAATCGAGAACTGACCCATGGAAAATCTGTTGAAACTGAAGGTGAAATGGAAAATTTTTAAACCAAGCACAGTGAATTTTTGTTGGGTATGGCCTATTAAGGGATAAGGGATATCCAATGTGGGTAAATGGAGTTGAAATATTGACATTGATCTCATGGAATGGGCGGAACAGGCTCTAGGAGCTGGAATGCATCTTGCTGTTATTATGTTCTATCTTTTGTCTTGCAGTACGGAGTTGACATAATGGCACGTGATGCCCATGGAAACACTGCGCTGGCCTATGCCAGACAAGCAATGAGTCAAGAGTGCAGCGACATCCTACTGCAGTATGGGTGCCCTGAGGAACACTTCATCCTGGTGGCGACTCCCAACTTGTCCCGCAAGAGCAACAACCGCAACAACAGCAACAACAACGGAAGGATGGACACCAAACTGCCCACTGTTATTTGAAGAAGAGTGCATCAGACTCTTGTGTTTAGAGAGCAGCACTGAACCTCTCCCTTTACAGCCTCGTATCTGTGAAACCTCATTCCACTCCTGATTAAGTTCTCAAAGCAGCGTAACACCACGTAAAGCCAGAGAAACGGGGTAAAGAAGATGCCCAGTCACAGAGCAGCTCATTACACAAATGAGACGAGGTTCTGTGCCGTCAAAAGAGAGATAAAGATTTGGAAGGATCAGGAATTGTCCGAGTGAAGAAAGACCAGTGGTAAGGGTGAGAGCTTTGTGCTTTTACCTCACTGGGCCAATTTGTGAATGCAGACAAGGGAAATTGGAACGTTCAGGCATTGACAATTAGCTGTCAGTACATTTCACCTCTACCAAACAGGTTGATTCAGCTCTTCTGTGGAGGGCCCTTGCTGACATAAATCAGCTGAGAGCACAGAGTTTGTCAGGTTTGAAGCTCCTATGATGGTATGTGTCAAATCAGTTGTGGCTAATCTGTCCGGGGAGAATACTGGCTTCATTACACTTGTATAGTTCAGTTCTTCCAGCATTACCACTGTTTAATAGAACATGATTAGTCATAATAGAGAAAAGCATATTAGCTGAGGAGGTAGTTACATGGCACGGTTCAATGACTGCTTGGATGTGATTGTAATATTCTCTCAAGAAGCACAGTATCTCAGTTACGTTCCTTCCAGTCCTTTGAGCCCTCCTTCCTAAATTCACTGCCGTAATTTAGTGTGTATTTAATTTTTGGTCCTCATCCTATTGAAAAGAAAGAAATGGGGTCCTTTACTCACCCAGCTGTTGCCCTCCTCCCCTTTAAATGACCCCCCTAACACGCACGCACGCACACACACACGCACTAATGCTCTGCTTAGATGTAATCTGTTAAGTAAATGCAGAGACTGCTGGTTTTTGAATGTCAGGTGCTGTGCTGTAAAGAATTAAAAGGCTGTAAGCATTATTTAGTGCGTCCAAATGAAGAAAAGAAAGGAAATTGCTTAGTCTTTGCCTCCTTTCTCAGCCACTATCATACTTCCCCTCTGACCTGCATTACCACTGGCAGCATCATCCGCAGTGTGTAGGATGGTTCTCTTGTCCAAGGAAACGTTTCCTGAAAGAATTTTCTGTCCTGTTTGTAAGTATGATGTAAACTCTGATGCTATAATATTTATATGTTGTACATAATTTTGTTCGTTCCATCGGGATTTTTGACTTTTATTTTGCAGGGAGGGAAAGGGGGTGATTTGAAAACCCTGATGGCAGTTCTTTTCTCTGGAAAATGGCTGATCCAGTCCATGAGTTGTTAGCTGCTTGTCATTTGCTTTTTTTGGGAGGGAGTGACGCTGTGAGGATGGGGTAGAAATTGAGTAATTTGGATAATAATGGCCATTAATGCACAGTTTAAAACTCCATTCTACACTCCAGCATTGAGTCCAAATAGGATGCATTTTTCTAGTACTTCCTTGCGTATTCTGTGTGACAGATCCCTGGTGAAGACCTATTTAATCAGAAGAATTCAGCTCCCTCTAACAGACTTAAACTTCCTTCAAAATGGTCATCGACATCACTACACTACAGAAATCGATTTTACATCCCCCCACCATTTGAATAATGAATACTTAGGCTTGGCAGTTTTCAGTGACTACAGTGTGATTCCACTGGTAAATCTGAGGGTCAAGTTGCTCTGGCCTTCAAAATTTTAATGTACCGAATCAAGTCTGAGTATTATGAAGCACAATGTTGATTCATGCCTATGGTGCATGCCCCAATTACAAATCTACTGCTTGGCAAAAAAAGGTGTTGAAGGAGGCACCATGTTGCATTCCCGTCCAATTGATGAAAAGTGTCACAGAGGTGCGGGCGCCATCAGTACAATCAGAAATATTCATTTCATATATCATGTACATTTTTCCAATCTCCTCTGTCGTAGATTGGCAGGTTTTGTGGAGACCATGACAGGTTAGTTTCACTCACAGCTGGGTAAAATCGTCATAAAGACTATTGATCATGGATTTTAGAAAGACGGGAAAGGGGCTAAAGATCTCTGGCAGCTATCTACTCACCACTGAGCCACTGATTTGAATCCTGGTATACATGTGTTGCTCAAACACAGCTTGGCAAGTTGGACTGAATTGTGCAGCGTTTTATCTGGTGCACTGACATTAATTAAAATGTCCTACTAAAATCCCTGCTGGATTTCCACAGGCACGAGAACCTTTGTGTTTCCTCTAATTTCCCTCTGGTCTGACAAACAAACACGCACAATTCTGTTTGGAAAAGTCACAGGATTCACACACCACCCAAAACGTGTTGACAGAGATCCTTCACTTTCAGCAGTCATGTGCATCTAAGTGCATTTAGTATCCAGTTTGTCATTGTGCTAAGGTGATGCTCTTGTGTTAAAACTGACAGTTTTACTTGCCTTGACAACAACAAAATAAAACATACAAGGGAATTTGCTTTTCCGCAATTCATTCATCTTTTTTAAAAAAAAGTTATTACTGTAGAATGTGCATCAAAGATCAGATAACACCTTCAGATTCTATGTCACAGATCTAACAAACCATAGATTATGTGTAATAAGTAGTAAGCATTTTCTTCTCCTGAATCATTGCTCTCATACTCATGTGAGACCTGAATCACTTCTCTAACACTCCTGCATATCTGAGTCATTACTGTAACACTCCCCCAAATCCCAAGTCCTTGCTCCAATATTTCACTAATCCCAAATCGTTACGCAGCAATACTCCTCCAAATCCTGAATTATTGTTTTAATGCCCCTCCAAATCCCAAACCATTGCTGTAACATTCCTCCAAGTCCTGAATCATTGCTGCCATACCACTGTTAGGTCACTGCTTCAATCTGTTCCGATCTTAAATCATAAATCTAACACAACTTCATAAGACACAGTATCAATCCAACATCCTTTGGGTCCTCCATCTCATAATGACAACAGCATATGGAACTAAAGTGGTGAAAAGAACTTTGGCAAAGATTCACTGCCATGTATATATACAGTAAGTATTTCTCAGTGACAATTGATAATCTGGTCAGTTTAATAATTTGTTGTCATCTAAATGCCCTATTTGGATTACTGTTTTGGAATTATGAGGTGTGTATTCGCCACATTCCTGCTTTGTAATTCCTGTGTTTCTGGTTTGTTTAGGGAGAGCATCCCTAAAGAGTGCCAAGCCTAAATATAAACGTATTCCTAATCGTGCTTTATAAACTGTGCCAGTCATTACTGTACCTGGAATCAGTTTATCTGCTGTTACACTAATCTGGAATGTATCTGTAAAGAGCTGTTAGCTGGCAGTCATATCTCAGTGTAAATAGATATAATATGGACACTATCAGAATGAATGGTTTAAGTTTTAATATTACCTCATTTGGCAGTTCATGTTTTGCAATGACTAGATGCTTTATTTATATGTTTGTAATAATAATGAAAGCTGTGTGACGTTGCCTGCATTTTGCCAGTGGAGTTTGTTAGGCTGAGTTATGATTGACCATATCAGTATGTATTATGATTTTGTGGGTCAACTGTACAGTACTCTGTTAAAGACTGTAAAGTAATGCAAGGAGACTAAATGCTGTAATTGTAAAATGTCTCTTTTCAATAAAAGAAAACTTCGTAATACATTGTTTTAAGTGTTTGATTTCACACAGTATGGTAGTAGATATATTTTACTTTTCGTCTCATGGAGCATAGGTGTTGTCCTGGCCAATATTAATCACTCAACCAACATCACTTCAGATAGCAGGCTGTCTAATAGCAATCACATTGCTGATCATTGGAACTTGCTGTACGCAAACTTTCTCTTGCATTTCTGATATTACAACAGTGACTATATTTCACAAACTAATTCATTGAAACATCTTGGGCAGTGAAACACTCCATGTAGATGCAGCTCATGTATACGAGGCTTGCAGCATATAAAATAACCCCATTTTGTCAGCTCCATAAATTATGTTTTTTTATATACTCAGCATCTTATAACACCTGCCTCCCTTTTCAGCCAAGACATGCTATATTCATATTAGTAATCAGCCTTAGTTTTTCACCCCCATGTTTATAATGGATGCAAGAGATTAAGCAGGCTATGTTGTGGAGATGCCCAAGAATTTAAGACACACCCACTGTTTGCGTCAGATGTTGATGACAGTTCAAAATGCCCAACCAACTACACCCACTCCTGTGGCTCAAAAGGCCAATTTAAAAGCTGACATTTATGGTACACATATAACGCTCTTGGAAAATTATGCCCGGACCCTCATGATGTCAGTGTGTAAGGTCACTGAAGTGCACACACTACACAAGATTTTTGAATTATGTATAGATAATATCTAAAACTTAAGGCTTTGTACTGTCAAAATCAAAGGTGATAATCTGCTTGTTAGATGTATACATAAAAACAAACGAAGCAGTTAGCTCATAAAGGCTGCCTGTAATTACATTTGGATATGTAGCAGTATAATGCAGTAACATTACGGTAAGTACAGTACCTAAATTACAGCACAGCGCTAGCAGATCTGAATATCCTATCATCTCCCCACCTTTATCAAAATCTTAACGGTCTGAAGAACTTATGAACCTCATCCGAGAACTCCATGAGCATTCTCTGAAGTCAGTCACCAAGCCTCAAGTGGGCAAAAATCCCAATCTCGAGCAGCGAACCCAATTAGTCCAGGGACATTAAAAGGCTTGGCTGCACATCAGTTTCAAAATAGTCTCGCAGACCTGCAATTTGGCCAGGATGGTGGGAGCTGGAAGCCAGGGTAGCAGCCTGGAGTTCAGCTAAGTGCTATAGGGAACCTTTCAGGGGAGCCCAGGCCAAATTGGTTCAAGATTTCTTTGTGGCTCCTCCCTCCCCAACAGGAAGCTCGAATATAACAAGCTGCCTTCTGGTCCAAAATCCTGCTCCCATCAGGTCTGAGGGAACCCAGATGAGTGAAATTCACTGTACCCATACCCTGTCATCCAACACATGCTTCTGATCTAAATGCACAGCAGCTAATACCACACAGACCAAGAACTGAAAAATCTTTATTCCCATATGGCTTATCAGTAAAGCTGACCCATGAGATTCTCCTCCCTTGAGAAAGGGGAAAGAGGTGTGCAGTCAAAAATTGGAGGTAATAAATTTAAGAAAGCCACCAATAAATCCAATGGAGAATTCAGGAGGAACTTCACTCAGTCTGTGATTTAAATTATGGAGCTTGTTTCTTTGCATAGATGGGTTCAAAGGGAAGCTGGATAAATACATAAGGGAGAGAAAAGAAAGATATGAGGTGAGATGAAGAAGGTTGGGAGAGGGTTCGTGTGAAGCGTAAAATGCCTGTGCAGACCAGTTGAGCTGAAAGGCTTGTTTCAGTAATTTGTCAATTGTGAGTTTTTTAAGTAAGAGTTGCAGTGTTGACAAAACTGAATTGAGAAATCACGTCATTCAAGGGCGACTAATAAAAGTCAACTGTTTGAGAACTGAATAAGCTGGAAACATAAGTCCATAGAATGCGAAAAATGGATCTTTTAATTATCACTGTGGATGAAGATATTGTATTGTTAGTCTTTTTGGTGAGTGTAATGATAGATGTTTAGAATAATTACTATTCTCATTAGATATTGAAGTGAGTGCTATTATTTACTTCATAATTCCAGTCTAGGACACAACAGGAAATAATGAAGAATGATGTGTCTGTGAAATTTAGCAAACATTTCAGTGAAATCCATGGGGCTCTAATTATAAGTCATTGGGTGATTCTTTTGCTAATCAGATTACTCTAAGGCCAAGAACAGTCATTAGAAAATGCCCTCTCCCCCAGAATCCTTCTTATAACACATCCCATTGGGAGACATGGAAGGGAGAAGAAAGTATCATTCCCAAGGCTCTGCTCATCGGACAGTGTGGCCTTGCCTATAATCTGACTGCCTGTCAAGTAAAAGGTATTTTTCTCTCTGCCCTAACTCCATATGCCGTCACATAGAGCAGGACAATTATGCAATGGCAATTAATTATATAAGTGCCACCTCTAGGTGGTGCAAAAAAACATGCATTCACAAAGACATCAAGTGAAATATGTACCAGACACCTTCATTACAGCATGCAGCAGGAATTTATCAAATGTTAAATTCAAATGAAATTTGGTATCTGCAGTATTTGGCTGTTGTGTTGATTTGAAATGGTCTTCATTTGAGAATGAGATTGAGAAGGCTGACCTCTGTGCATGCTCAGGGGTGGCCATCTTTGCCAGCTATCTTGTTATTCGTAGCATGTACTCCATTATATTTTATATTTCTGTTTAATAACTGCAAGCTGGCTCTTTGTAACAGCAAAAGGCAGCCAACTCATCTCTAGAAAGTGGTGGTAGACTGCATTGGTCTGTATTCAAGAAATGGTTGGTTTATATTCACACTGTCATGATCTCAGGATGGCCAAAGCCCTTTATAGCTAACAAAATGATTTGTTAATGTATTGTCAATGTTGAAGTACAGCTGCCAATTTATGTGCAGCAAACTGCTAAAATAGTGATGTGATGATGAACACAAATCTGTTTTATAGTGATGTTGGTTGAGAAATAAATATTGTACATGGCACTAGTGATAACTTGCCTGCCATGGGATCCTTTATGTCCACCTGAGGGGCCAAATGTTTAATGTTCTACCTGAACTGTGGCACATCTAACAGTGCAGCCCTCCCACAATATTGCATTCAGGATGTGTTTTTGCTTGGTTACCAACAAAAATTACTTCTTTTAATTGTTGGTTCTCTCTTGTTAGGGGCGTAGGAACAAGAGAAGGCCATTCAGCCCTTTAAGACTGCCCTGCCATTCAAGGCAATCATGGCTGAACAAACTCATCTCTTTTATTTCCTTTAGATGTGGACTGTGGCCTAGAAAAGAAAGATACTGCTTTAAACCAAGGAGACTATACAAAGAGATGGCTGGACTTTAACATCATATTTACTGCAGCACATCCTGAGTTTTGTATAATGTGTTTTCTGGATCAGTGAGAGCAAAAGCAAACACCACTGAATGAGGGGACAATTGCTCAACAACAACTTTTTAAATGGTATAACAAAATGTAGAGCTGGATGAACACAGCAGGCCAAGCAGCATCAGAGGAGCAGGAAAGCTGATGTTTTGGGTCTAGACCCTTCTTCAGAAAATCATGGCTTTTAAATCGTTCTGGACTTACATTGGATCTGTTCAGCAGAATAACCTAGGCTACAAAGAGAAAAGGCATCAAAAAGTCTCTCTGTCTCTGTCCTGCGTGGAGGTAAGAAAATATCCAGAAACAACTAGCTATCTTCCACTTGCCATTCTCTTCGAATCACCTGATGAGAGAGGAAAAGAAAAACTATCCTCATAAAAGAGGCAAATTCTCAACGATTGAAAAGACCGAACGTCAATGTGTAAGCAACTTTGTGTCAAGAGCAAAGAACTAAAAGGTATTAGAAGAAACTGAAAAAAAGCTACTCATCAAATCATGTGGTTCAGACTGGTGCTATGTGTACCTATCTGTTTGTGAGAGGGGGGTTACATAAAAGGTAGAACTTAGGTAATAGGAAGTTTTAATATCAATTCATGCTTCTTTACTGCCATTAGTTAAGAACAATCTTTTCACAATGCATAGCTATTTTCCAGTTGTTTTTGTAAACTAGTGAGTATTTTCTTTTAAACTAAGTTTGTTAGTCAGGTAAAGTGGGAACTTAGGATAATATAATTAAGATTGTTCATGTTCGCGACAAGTCTGGGAATGTTGAAGTTTGATTTCCAGTGCACTGCCCTGGTGAGTCATGATACCTTCAACATAGGAAAGCATCATAAGGTACTGCACAGGGGCAGATAAAAGTTTGACACTGAACTTGTAAAAGGACACGTTAAAGCTGTTGGCAAAAAGCTGGGTCAGAGAAGCAATTTTCAAAGGGTACCTTAAAGGAGAATAAAGAAGTGGAGAATAGGAGAGGTCGAGGAAGGGAAAACCACAATTTAGTGTTCAAACGGCTGCAGATTGTTCAAACACAGTGAGCCTCACCAGCATGATGCTTCCCACTGCTGTTCATTTTGTTGTGTTAATGTTAACGGTGCAGTAATCAATCACTCGTCAGGGAGTGAATAACTCTCTGGGTTGGTTTAGTTAATACAGTAAAACATGTTACAAGTTATGAAGCAAACATCACAGCAAAGCAACAGATTTGTGAGATTGCAACAGACAACCCATAGGAGACTTACTGCAAGACAAAATGATAAACATTGTGTACACACAACACATGGAGGCCTTAAGGGTGAATGCTCTTAAAGGCAAGGCACACATACAACAGGTCCCACCACAAAGCTTGGGACAAAGGAAATTGGGTATGTTCAAGAGATTGGAACAGAAGGAACACGGATTTTAAAGGGTTGTAGGGCAGGAGGAGGCTATAGAGATGGTGGGGTTGTGGGCAGGATGGGGGGAATGTGGGATTGTTGGGTAGAGTGATGAGAGGCCATGAAAGGATTTGATGTATATGATACAACAGAATGAGTTTTTATTCACCATTACAAAAGTATGAAGTTTCACAGGCATGGATTTACTGACCAGGTAATGCTCCATCTTATATGCTTTCCAACAGGAATCCTGGAGAGCAACCAGGAACAGAA